AATGTACACTTTGCTAAAATAGTTTACACTTTGATTTCTTTGATTTCTGAACTTTAAAAGCCGCATATGGTTTTAAATTAGTTAAAGATTATATTTGTTCGTTAGAGATCAAAATGTTTGTCTCTTGATAGAAAAAATGACGAACATTATATTTTGTTTTTTAGATTGTGAAAATTTGACTTTCGTACACTTTGTACACTTTGCTGAAAAAAACAAAGCGAAATGTACATTTTGCTTATGAAATACAGAGTGTACTGTACATTTTGTTTTAGATTTCCATTGGAAACACTGGTTTTAAGTGGATCAATATCAAATGCACTACGCGTGGCGACCTCTTAGAAAATTAAATGGGCCGAGACTTTGATGAATACTAGTAGATAGAGAAAAAAATTCTCTATCAAACTGTGTCTTTACTTCTTTTTAGAAAAGTGATTATAACCGAGAAATATTCGATATAATCTGGTCAATCCAAACAAATATAAAATAATACCATTATACCGTATTCTTATTGGTCGTCGAGTTTCCTTACTCAGTATTAATCAACTTAATCAATAATTTTCTCGAGAAAAAAAAATAGGCCGAAAAATCTGACTTCATGAGATAATTTGTCTTTTGTCAAGCTACAATTTGATATGAAGTAGTCCCTCTGAAAAAGTGATCGGAGTATTTCAGAAATTAGCGCCACTAAGAGCATAAGTGTATTCGCCATTTGATATTGATTTAATGTTTTTTTCTCGATTTGTCTCTAGACTACTAGTGTAGTGGAGCAAAGTTTGATTCTTCTTTTAAGGTATTATTTAATTTAATGTCATTAAACTTTTTAGAAAAAAAATACAAAAAGTATAATATTTATATTAGAATTCTCTGTGTGTACTTTGGTAGCTATTGAAAATTGTCTCAGAGAAGGATAAAATTCTGAATTTCTACGTCATTTAACATGCTTATTCATATCTACTGACCAGTAATCGAACTATTTTATTCGATAGAACAACAATGGATGATAACGTTATGTCCTCGATTCTTTCTTTTTCTTTTTTCTCTTCTCTCCTCTCTTTCTTTTCTATGCATATGTTTGCTAGTCAGTCAATTATTTCAAACATATCATCCACAGTGATAACCATAATATCTCAGCGAATACTGCAAATATAAATAATCGAATTTTTTATTTTTTGTTTTTGTTTTTCAGAAATGCCCGACATAGGTTTATGTGCTGATGTAACATGTGATGATGAAATCAAAGAATTATATGAATGTCATTGTTGTTTACGTCTTGTTTGTTTAAATCATTTGAATGAACATGTTCAAATAACAAAACAAAATAGACAACGATTTGATAGTCTTCGCAATGGATTAAATACAATTGTGAATACACTGAAACAAATTGTTAAAGAAAAACTATTAATTATTGAACGTGAACAGAATTTAATTGAACAAGGAAACAAAATTCTTGATGTATCCAGTAGTTCAATTGATGAATTAGAAAGTATTTTTGAAGAAATTAGTCAAACAATAGCATCAAATCATTCAAGTAAAAATTGAATTAAATCATCACTTTTTCCTATGTTTTTCTTTTCTTTGTTTTTGTTAAAAAAGAAATGGTGAAACTCGAACCATCATTATCAGAAACTAAATATTCTTCTTGTGTATGTAATAAGGAAAACATGAATTCAAATGGTAAGATAAAATGTTTTTAAAATATTTTTTTTCTTGTCATTGTATTTTTTCTTGTTTGTATTGATGGAACCATAGGTACTGATATCTAACGAGGGAGCTAGTCGAACTTATTAATTTCCATTTGAACTTATATGGACACTAGAAAGATCTCTTAGTAAAAGCATTTGTAATCCATGAGCCAAGTTACCACTGTTTTAGACATTTTCAATCTGCAAATATCCATAGACAAGTCTGATGACCCTCGAAATAGCTTGAGAATTTCAGCCAAAAAGAAAATGTTGACATGTTAAGATACTGCATTTTCAAGGAAATTCGATTTTGGTCAGTGCTTATTTAATACAAATTTGGTATCTCAATGAATGAACAATTCTTTTTGGTCACTGCAGATTTCAGATTCGTCATTAAATCAATTAACGGATGAAGTTCGGTTAATTTATTATTGAATGAATAGTAAAAGATGTGTCGAAAATTCACTAAATCAGTTCATGGGCACGATTCTTTTCAAGCCTTTTCTGCTCTAACCCAAGTTTTTATTGTTGCTCTAATATGAGTCCAAACGCTGGAGATCAGTTCATGTATTTTCCTTGCAGGATAAAAAATACCTTGAAAATATAAGTTTTTCTATGTTTAGATGTAGCAGAAGAATCGACTATCTTCAAAGGTAAGTTAAATTTTCTTTAACTTCAAAAAGAAAATCAAACATGATTGATTTAAGATTATGAACATACAACGGACATCAATCATGATTTTGTTGATATTACTTCATTTGAGTAAG